GTTACCTTTTATAGAAGACTAAAGAAGATATTTATCCTCCTTGATACGCGCGCCCTTATTAATTTGCCAGAGACTTGAGGGGACGTTTCAGAGCGACTCTTGAAATTCGCTGCACTGCGAACAAAATGCGATGAATCACACTTCATTCGCATAACGTATTGACAATAAATGATTTCGCATATCTGGTTAACGAAGATATCTATCCTCTTTGATACGCGCGCCGTTATTAATTTGCCAAAGGCTAAGGGGACGTTTCGGAGTAACTCTTAAAATTCGCAGAACTGCGAACAATATGCGATAAATTGCATTTCATTCGCATAACGTATTGACAATAATGATTCCGCATATCAGGTTAAAGAAGATATACTCAAGAAGATTTCTATCCTTCTTGATATGCGCGCTGCTATTATGCGTCGAAGACTGAGGGGACGTTTCGGAGAAGAGGCGACTCTTCAAATTCGTAGAACTGCGAACACAATGCGATGAATCGCATTTCATTCGCATAACGTATTGACAGTGAATTGCATTCTGTTTCGCATATCTGTTTAAAAACATATACGTAAAATAAAAAAATTATTTTTAATGCACCAAATGTCATTTAATTGAGAGTCGAAAAGACGCAACCTGCCAACCTTTATTCGCAACACGTCGAACAATGTGCGATAACTCGCATATCATTCGCATCCCTGAAATTATGGAGGGAAAAAATCCCACCCAATGAATTACTAATAGAAGAAAACTCAATCTCAATCTTAGATAAAATGTTTTTTTAGGAGTTAAGGTATATAGATAAATATGGTTTAATGTGAAATTGACAATAGAAGAAAGCCACTAATTAAAAACTATAATAACGTTCAAGCTCAATCTTAGATAAAATATTTTTTAGGAGTTAAGACATATAGATAAATATGGTTTAATGTGAAATTGACAATAGAAGAAAGCCACTTATTAAAAAATATAACAATGTTCAAACTCAATCTTAGATAAAATGTGGATTATGAGTTAAGGTATATAGATAAATATTGTTTAATGTCATTATGTTTGAAAGTGGAAATAGAAGAAAGCCACTTATTAAAGAATATGATAATGTTCAATCTCAATCTTAGATAAAATGTGGATTAGGAGTTAAGGTATATAGATAAATATAGTTTAATGTGAAATGACAATAGAAGAAAGCCACTTATTTAAAATATAATAATGTTCAATCTCAATCTTAGATAAAATGTTGATTAGGAAATCATTGAAGAAATCTCCACCATCATTACTCAACAACAATAGAGTTCTCCTCTGTGGGATTCTTTCTCTTTCTAGAGGCTTAGTTCCAGGAATTGGATCTCCACTCTTGGTATCTTCGATCTTCGATCTTCGATCTTTGCTCTTTCTTCTGTCGATCCTTGTTCCTTTTCTCTCCGTGCTCATCAGTTCCTTTCTTTCTGGCTGTGTTCTAGTAGGGTTTATTAGGGGTTAGTTGTTCCTTTCTTTTTATTTTGGGGTTTGTTTTTCTCTTTTAGGGTCAGTAGGTTTTTATGGTTAGGTTTTTTCCTCTACGATTTATGTGTGTAAGCACTCTTGGCATCAATCTAGCTTATCTCTTTCTCTTAGACCTAAGTTCTGTTCTGATTTTAAGCACGAGAATCATCAATACCTGGGCTATTGGATAGTTCTGAATCTCGATGGCTGAGGATCTGACGGATAAATTGAGGAAGTTCAAGCTATCAGAGAAGGAGGAAAAGGGATTAGAAATTTCAAATGTGGATATAGAAGAAGGGATGAAGGAGTGCCAGCTGAGTCTTCTGGGGAAGATTTATGGTGAAAAGAAGGCGAATTATAATGGGTTGAAAGCCACTCTGAACAACATTTGGGTTACAAAGAACCAATTTTTCATCAAGAATATCGGCCCGAACTTATTTCAATTTACGTTCCAGTCAAAAGAAGACAAGGAGAGGATATTACAAGGTAAAAGTTGGACATTTGATGGGCAATATATTCTCCTGAAAGACTGGAAGCCTGAAAATCAAGAATTTTTGGAGGAGGATGAGAAAGTGAAGATATGGGTCCAGATTCATGACCTTCCGCTACATTGGATTACCAAAGACTTGGGATTGAAAAAAGGGGGGATCATAGGAAGAGTAGTAGATGTTTTGGTCCCGAGTGCAGAGAGTTCCAACGGACATATCTTGAAGGTGCAGGTGGAACTAAATTTAAGGGAGCCCATACCTAGAGGCACAAAAATTAGATTGGGCGCAGAAAATCGATGGGTAAGTTTCAGGTATGAGAATCTCCAATCCTTTTGTTTTTACTGTGGTCTGGTGGGTCATATTGATAAAAATTGTTTAGCTAAGAAAAATGACCTAGCTAGAAATGTGCTTAACTTGGGGCAATTTGGGGAGTGGCTTAGAGGAGGGCCAACTTATTTCAGTGAGTCTAAGTCTTATAGATCTTCAGCTTCAGGGGACTTGAGTGAAAAGGATTCTAAAAAATCACCCTCTCAAGGCACTGATGATGAGGGTCCTCAGGAGAGGGAAGGAGGAACACCATGGATAGGCAATTTCCCTCAGTCAGAGCAGACAAGGGACAGGGATGTGGGTGGAATGGTTGAGACACCTGCTAAAGGAAAAGAGATTAGGATTACTCCTGATCCTTTACCTAGTGCAGAGAATCACACCACTTTGAAGTTGGTTGAGAGTGATACCCAACTAGTAGAAGTGGATGTTCAACCAGTTCCATCAATTAATAGGGACATTTCTAAAAGGAAAAAACCCATTGTGAGGAAACTGAGAGTCCCTGTGCCCAATGAATCTGCCAGTATGGAGGTGGATAGGGATAAAACTCCAGGAGAGTCAGATAGAGTGAGGCTAGTTCTTAGCAAAAGGCCTTTGGAGGATTTTTCTAATCCCTTGGGCCATGCCAAGAACATGGCCAATAATAAGAAGTTAAAGAGTATGAATAATGAGGAGAGTCAGGAGGTGGAGAGGACCAGCCCTAAATGGTCCCAAGAGTTGAAATGAAAGTATGTGTGTGGAATTGTAGAGGTTTGGGAGGACCCTCTACAATTTCCCAATTGCGAGAAACCCTAAGGGTTCACCTCCCTGATATCATTTTCCTTTCTGAAACTAAGAAAAAAGAAAAATTTGTAGCTTCAGTGTGTAAAAAATTAAAAATGGAAGATAGATGGATTTATAGTAAGCCTGTTGGGTCTAGGGGAGGTCTTTTACTCTACTGGTCTAGTAGAGTAAACATTTTGGATATGTTTTGCCTGGATTTTTGTGTGGGGATCAAATTTAAACTCTCTGGTACTAATATTATTCAGTGGGGCATTTTTGTTTACTCTAGTACAGACCCTCATATTAGATATGCCCAATGGGACTATCTTAAAAGTCTCAACAGGGGATGGGGGGATTTTTGGTTCCTAGGAGGGGACTTTAATGATATTTTGTCTAGTCAAGACAAAGTAGGGGGCATCCCTAGAAGTGAGATTAGTTTAATGCCATTTAGGGAATTTGTTAGAGATATGGAGATGTGTGAGACAATGACTCAAGGTCATTATTATACCTGGTCTAATCTTAGACAAGGTAATGAGTTCATTGAAGCTAAATTAGACAGAGTCTTTTTCTCTGGCCCATGGTTGGCCAATTTTCCAAATGCTCTTGTTAAGCACATTTCTCTTATTTTATCAGACCACAGTATGATTATGGTGGAGACAGATTGTACCTTGAAACCTAAGCCCAAAAGATTTGTTTCTGACCAGAGGTGGGTTAAATTAGAAGGGTTCATGGAGGTTGTTGATAGGGCTTGGAACAGGGAAGTGAGTGGGCCTGAGTTGTATAGTATTCAGGGGAGGATAAGGAATGTCAGGGTGGCTTTACTCAATTGGAAGAAGAAACACATTACCAATTCTGCTAGAATGATTGAGATTTGTAAACAAGCTTTGTTTGATATAAAGGTAGAAGGGGTCAGTAATCATTGGGAGGAGTGGTGCAGATGGAGGGACCTTTTACACAAAGCTTACCTAGATGAGGAATTTCACTGGAAGCAAAAATCTAGGATTCAATGGTTGCAAGAAGGTGATAAGAACACAAAGTTATTTCATGCCTCGGTGCAACAGAGGAGAGTGACTGGGAGCATGGATAATATAGTCAATAAGTGGGGTAGGAGATGTGAAAATGAGCAGGAGTTAGTAGGAGAGCTGGAGTGGTATTATCACAATCTATTTATGACCACTAATCCTGTTCATGAGGATGATGTGCTAGAAGGTATCCCCATCTCGATCACTGCTGAAATGAATCAAAGGCTAGTCAGAGGAGTAACTGAGGAAGAGATATACTTTGCTTTGAAGGAGATGGAACCATCCAAGGCCCCAGGTATTGATGGAATGACTGCTACATTTTTTCAAAAGTGTTGGCCTATTGTTAAAACCCGTTTGTGCTCTGCCATCCTGAATTTCTTTGCCTCATGTCAAATGCCCAGAGGTATAAACCATACTGTCCTTTCTCTCATTCCTAAAATCAACAGTCCTGTTCACATTTCTGATTTCAGACCTATTGCTTTATGTACAGTTGTTTATAAAATTATCTCTCAAATTATTGCTAATAGACTTAAGGAAGTTTTAAATCCCTGTATCAATGCCTCTCAGGCTGCTTTTGTGCCTGGTAGGCAAATTTTGGATAATGGTGTTTTGGCCAATGAGTGCTTACATTTCATAAATAGTAGAAGGAAGGGGTCTAAGCAATTCATGGCTATTAAATTAGATATGGAAAAAGCTTATGATAGGGTAGAGTGGAATTTTTTGCTGAATATATGTAGGAAAATGGGCTTTGATGAGGTCTTTGTTGCTTGGATCAGAGCTTGTCTGTGTACTACCTCATTTTCTTTCAATATCAAGGGTCAGGTTTTGGGTTTTGTTAAGCCTACTAGAGGAATTAGACAAGGTGACCCTATTTCTCCTTATCTGTTTATCATTTTATCTGAAGCCTTATCTAATTTGATTGCTAAAGCTAAATCCTTTTACTGCTACTCAGGTATTAAAATTAGCAGATTTTCTCCAGCTATCTCTCATCTCCTTTTTGCTGATGATACTATCCTTTTTTGTTCTGCTGATGTTTATCATGCTTTGTTGATTAATAATATCCTGGAGATTTTTTGTGGTGCCTCTGGCCAAAAGGTCAACATGCATAAGTCCTCTATTATTTTTTCCAGAAATACTCTTCCTAATATTAGATCCAATATCTGTCTCATTTTGAATGGTATTAAGAGTGTGGATTCTACTAGATACCTGGGAATGCCTCTAGGAATTGGTAGATCCAAGAGGAGTACATTTAAATTTGTTTCTGAGTGTGTGTCCAAAAAACTCCTCAATTGGAAAAACAATTTTTTGAGTGAAGCTGGGAGAGGTATTTTGATTAAATCAGTACTAGAAGCTCTCCCAACTTATATTATGTCTTGCTTTAAACTTCCTATGGGGGTTTGTCAGGACATCAGCAGAAGTGTGGCAAACTTTTGGTGGGGAATGAATGAGGAAGCGGGTAATAGGATCCACTGGTCTACTTGGGAGTTTGTGGCAAGACCAAAAGCTGAGGGAGGGTTGGGTTTTAGAAATATGAGTGTGTTTAATGATGCTTTGCTAGTCAAACAGGTATGGAGGCTAGCTACTCAACCAAATCTGCTAGTTAGTAAGGTACTAAGGGGTAGGTATTTTTACAGGATGAGCATTTTTGAGGTGCATGCTAAAGGGGGGGATTCATGGCTGTGGAGGAGCTGGGCTGGGGTTATCAAATATTTCAAATTGGGAGCTAGATATCAGGTGGGGTCTGGGGAGAGTATTTTGATTTGGAGTCATCCTTGGCTGCCAAGGGATTTTAATTTCACCCCTTCTTGTTGTTTCCCTGGGGATAGGTCTAGACTTGTCAGAGTCATAGATTTGATCAGTGAGGGGAGTGGTGTGTGGGATAGGGAGCTGGTGAGACAAACTTTCTTACCTGAGGAAGCTGACTTGATCCTGCAAATTCCAATTTCAATCAAGGGTAAGAAAGATACTCTCATCTGGCATTTTGGGAAGAAAGGGAGGTTCACTGTTGCATCTGTATATCATACTATTATGCAAAATAGTGCAACAAACTCAACTAAGGCATCCTCTAGTTCAGCCATCAGAAGTAACAAAGCTTTGTGGAACTTTACTTGGAACTTTCCTATTAATAACAAGCTCAAGTTTTTCATTTGGAAGTGTTGGCACAACTTTGTAAGCTCAAATGAATAACTGCTGAGGAGAAAATTCCAGGTGGATCCTATCTGTCATATGTGTGGAGTGGAAACAGAAGACTTGGATCACATTTTGTTCAATTGTGAAAGGGCTAAGCTAGTGTGGAAATTGAGTGGGCTGCAGTGGAAGAATTTTGACAATCACAAAATCTGTTTTAGAGACTGGTGGAGTGGTTTCTGTGCTAATTGTTTTCCAGGCAACCTTAAAGACAAAATTATCCTATCAACATATATAATGTGGTGGCTCTGGAAAACAAGAAACAACTGGATGTTTAGAAAGGAAAAGTGCAGTGAGATCCAAGTAGTTCAGAGGGCAAAGGCTGATTGGTGGGAGTATTCAGTTAAAGAAAAGCCCATTGCAGTCCTCTTTAATCTGGGGGTTCCTGAGGAGTGTTTTTCCCCTAGAGTAGGACAGTGGTCTTTCACTGTTAGTGCTCTAAACTCCTCACAGAATCACCTGCTTTTGAACTGCAAGGTGGAGAAAGATGGAGTACAGACACATACATTATCAGAGAGGCATTGGTTTGAAGGATGTGAAGAAGGGAAATGGTTGTATGCAATAAGGTGGATGATGATGATAGCTCTTCATAATGGGTGGACTACATGCTGTTTCAAATTGAAGAACAAGGCCCTTGTGAAGAAATTAGCTGAGGAGAAAGAGTTTGATTTGTGTTGTAATTCTATTGCCTATGATGTGTATGAGTTTGTAGCCTCTTTTTCCTCTTGTCTTTTTGCTTTTTGTATGTAAATAGTTTTAGTGTAGTGTCCTGGCACTAGGCTGCTGGGGTGATGCAGGTAAAACTGGGTAGGTTATTCCTGTCTGCTTAGCTATCTGTGGATAGTACGTTATTGTAAATTGTTTTCTGAGGTTTAATGAATGGTTGATTGTCGTTGGAAAAAAAAATGGTTTAATGTGAAATTGACAATAGAAGAAAGCCATTTAATAAAAAATATAACAATGTTCAAACTCAATCTTAGATAAAATGTTTTTTAGGAGTTAAGGTATATAGATAAATATGGTTTATTGTGAAATTGACAATAGAAGAAAGCCACTTATTAAAAAATATAATAATGTTCAATCTCAATCTTAAATAAAATGTTGATTAGGAGTTAAGGTATATAGATAAATATTGTTTAATGTGAAATTGACAATAGAAGAAAGCCACTTATTAAAAAATATAACAATGTTCAAACTCAATCTTAGGTAAAATGTGATTATGAGTTAAGGTATATAGATAAATATTGTTTAATGTCATTATGTTTGAAAACGGAAATAGAAGAAAGCCACTTATTAAAAAATATAATAATGTCCAATCTCAATCTTAGTTAAAATGTTGATTAGGAGTTAAGGTATATAGATAAATATGGTTTAATGTGAAATTGACAATAGAAGAAAGCCACATATTAAAAAATATAACAATGTTCAAACTCAATCTTAGATAAAATGTGGATTATGAGTTAAGGTATATAGATAAATATTTTTTAATGTCATTATGTTTGAAAGTGGAAATAGAAGAAACCCACTTATTAAAAAATATAATAATGTTCAATCTCAATCTTAGATAAAATGTTGATTAGGAGTTAAGGTCTATAGATAAATATGATTTAATGTGAAATTGACAATAGAAGAAAGCCACTTATTAAAAAATAGGATATCGTTCATTTATATATTATGAACGGTAATGTAACACCCCACTTTGATTTTTCAGAAATTTCGAATTTTCCAAAAACCAGTATAAAATTTTCGAAACTCATTTTCGAAATCATGGGCGTTATTCAACACTAAACATCAACCCAAGTCATATCTGGTTGTTCACATGGTTTTCGTTAATCTTTCAGAACCCAACTCCACATTATTATTTGCTAAACAATATAGCATGCACATGATATTCAATAGACAAAAACCTTTATGAAAATCCAAAGCCAATCATTTGACCATAAGTTCTCAAAATACGTTTTGAAAATAGTTCAAAGTAT